TTCACGCCGCTTGCTCTTTTCCCAGTAATTTGCGCACATATCTGGAAATGGCACATCAATTCCCAGTAAGTGTCGTAGATTTCGGGAGCACCATTTTTCAGGATCTCTAATTCCCTGCTTCCGGGAACAAACTCCTCATAAGGCAATTCCCCAAAAGACAGTCCAGAAATCTCAAACATTTCGTGGAGAGCGAAGCCCAGCTCACCAACTGGAGTGAAAAAGGTGCCGGTGTGAGGGTTGTAGAATTCCAGCATAGCGAAGAGTCCGCTGTAATTCGGAGGAATACCGTATCGAGTGGCTGTTATAGGAACTCTCAAATCCGAAATTCTCAAAGGTTCTTCTAGTTCCTCCAAGACGAAATTTATCATCCGGGCCCACCAGTCCGCATCACTGGAGTGAACCCAAGTAGGGGCCCTGAAATCCCGAGCAGGGAACTCTCCTTTGACAGAAATAAATGTTCTGATAAACACCTCCGTTTGTGGAGTCGGGTCTTGCCGTGCGCTATGCACCTGACGTACACCTGTTTTCTCTGGTGTACGTCAGAATTAGGAGAAGAACAGGTTCAGCTAGGAGATCGCCAGGAGCCGGAAGATCCTCAGCAGGAGTGCCTTGTAGACGGAGCAGAAGAAGGAGTCGAAGCCTATTCTTGATGGTTCCACTTTACTTTTGTAGTTCATTCTTTTTCTATTGATCGATGTATTTTTGTATCTCTCCAGTATTCTTTTGTTCAGTTTTGTATAAGGGCATGTTGACCCGAATTTTATGTCTCGGATGTTATCCCATTTGTGATATGATATTTCTTTATTCTGAGTTGTCTATTATATTCTTGCTGATTGTGATCGGGGACCTGTGACTTCGCATTGTTTTATTTCCAGACGCTTAGCGTATTAGATTGAGAAGACGGGGTCTAGCACTTATCTCTTCTCAGTCTAATACGTCGCGGGCTTGCTCGCGTCCCGATTCCCTGGTATTTTGGGAAGCGGGGCGTGACAGGTAGTCATGAGAGCTTCTCCCCATAATTTTTCTGGCACACCTGAATTAATTAACATTAAGTTTACCATGTCCATTAGTGTTCTATTCTTTCTCTCAGCTACTCCATTAGATTGGGGTGTATATGGAGCAGTTATTTCATGAATAATTCCATTCTCTTCACAGAATTGTTTTAATTCATTAGAAGTGTACTCACCACCTCTATCTAATCTTAGTATTTTAATTTTCCTATCCAACTGATTTTCAACTTATGCTTTATATATTTTGAATTTTTTTATGACTTCATCTTTGGTCTTAATTAAGTAGAGGTAACAATATTTAGAGCAATCGTCTATAAAAGTTACAAAATATTTGTTACCCCCTCTAGTTGTTCTTCCTGAATCACAAACATCACTATGGATGAGTTCTAATATCTCAGAATCTCTATCAATAGTTTTAAATGGTTTCTTAGGAAGTTTGGCTTCTACACATATTTCACATTTTTCATCATCTTTTATATTAAGCTTTGGAATTATATTGAGATGCATCAATCTTTTAATTGAATTATAATTCACATGTCCTAATCTTTGATGCCAAGTGATAGAAGGTTCGATATTCAAAGCTATTAGAGATGCAAGAGTACAATATATAAAACATTCATTCAACAGAATTATCATGTAGTGTAACATTTTGTTTTTAAGAATTACAGACAACATTAACATAAAAAGCAGAATGCTAATCATGATACTATTCTAAACAGAACAATTAGATTCTTGAAATGTTGGGAATATAAGCTGTTTAGACAATAATTAGCATGAAATGTAGTTAATAATTTTTAGATAATAATGAATTAATATTGTAACACAGATGTAAGAAATAATTCTAATGAAAAGAAATGAGGGTTAGAAATACGGCCTGATGGTCGAAGCGTGCAAGCACTGTCCCAAGAATCTAATTGCCCCCTCTCATACAGGGCTACGCGGCAAAAGTTCCTGGAGATACAACGACCCTCGGTCAGGCGACATCCTTCTCGTCGGCACGAGCTTCAAAAAGGCTTTGCGAACTCTTCTAGACTTTCAGGGAACCATCAGAATAAAATAGCAAGTAAAGAGCAGAGAATAAGAAGTTTTGTGTTTTTCACACTGTGTTTTCTACCCTCGCAGCTTGCTGTTTATATAGAGGTTAAGAATGAACGTTTTTAATTACCGAATTAAATCCTCATAAAAACCCTTTTCCGTTTTGATTCTGTTTTAATTCTCATGAATATTACCGTTTCATTTACGTTTTAATTCAGTTTTAAAGTTCATAAATCTCCCCAATTAATTCTGGCCGTTTAACGTTTTGAAAATGAAATGTTAATCACGTTTTAAACAGTTCCAATTAGCAAAAAATAAAAATAAAAATAAAAATGTAGCAGATTAAGGGCCCATTAATCCGGAGCTGCATTCGTGTCCGCAGGTCGTGTGCGCGCGCCACCCGAGCCGACCCGACCCCGGCCCGGCTGGCGTGCGCGTGTGTGGTGTGGAGCATAACCTTTATTTTCTTTTAGGCATAGAAGAGAAAAGGAAGGCTTATAAAGAGCATATCTTCCCATCTCTTTTCTAATGTGGGACTAAAGTTTTCCTCTTTTTCTTTACAAACCCAAGTTTTAAGTTACAACTCCAACATAAACTGTCTAAAAAAATTTGCCAAAAAAACAACAACCTAGACGGAATATCCGTCTAGGTTGCTTCAACCTAGACGGAAGTTCCGTCTAGGTTGCCTCCTAGATGAATTTTTTGTCTAGGTTGCAACCTAGATGGAATTATGAATTTTGTCTAGGTTGCTTTCCGTCTAGTTAGATCAACTTAGACGGAAGTTCTATCTAGGTTGCCTCCTAGAGCAACTTTTTGTCTAGGTTGCAACCTAGACAGAATTATGAACTTCGTCTAGGTTGCTTTCCATCTAGTTAGATCAACTTAGACGGGATTCTGCCTGGGTTGACTCAAACTAGACGAAATTGTCATAGACGGACTTTTTTAGACGGATTTCTGTCTAGGTTGCTCTACGTAGACGGATTTCTGTGCAACCTAGACGGTTTTTTTTGTCTAGTTTGCTTATTTTTCTACTAGTGAAATATCCTAAATTTTTTAAAACTTGCACTTATATACCTTCAAGTTTGCGTAACTAAGGGTATTTATGTGCAAATTTTAAAAACTTTAGGGTATTTAAGTGTTAATTGTGAAAACTTTAGGGTTTTTAAGTGCTAGTTGTAAAGATGTTAGGGTATTTAAGTGCTGCTAAAAAAATGAGGGTTTATAAGTGCAAGTTTAAAAAACTTTAGGATACTTTTTCTACCAAATACAAGTTGGAGTATATAAGTAAAAGTAGTTGAAATAATAGGGTATCTAAGTACCTATTTAGCCTAAGAGTTATGGGATCTATTTTCTTGTTGTGGACGGCGCTAGAATAACTACATTTTGATATATTAATTACGAAGTTGTAGAACTCTTCTACTCGCTAATCACCAATATAAATGCTTTTTTTCCCCTGCATGTACCTTTATGTAGCTACCAAGTGATTACCTTTACAATATTAATATTAGTTACTTTGATCTTATGTGTTTTCCAAATAAATTTAGATTATTGAAGAAAATCCAATTTTATTCCTAAAAATTAGCATGAGAGATAAGTTAAATTGAAACAACTTTTTTTTTTTTGAAAGGAAAATGTAGGTATTAAAGAAAAATTGAATATGTAAAGAAAAGCTTGCTTGCAACTAGAACGAATGTTTAATAACTTTGAAACAAGTTCCTTTCTGCTCTAACCCCATTGTACAAATAGCAAATAAGTTTTTTTTTCCCCTCTTCAAAAAGGATTCTATAATAATTTAGAATTAACACAACTAATGGATGAAACAAGCTTATTCGCGAAGTACTTAAGAAAGACGTGGGCCCTCAGTAAAGTGAAGAGCTTCTTTCATGTTAACTCTGCCTTCGCTTCCTCTTTGTTCAAGACTTCAACTCTTATCATGGAATGGTGACTTATAGAATTAATTATGCATGTGCAGGATTATTTTGTGCATATATGTATTATAAGCAAGTGGAAGTCATCTTTAGGTTGCTTTGCTCTGACCTAGTCTTCCGGTTTTGCTGACATTTAATTTATATAGAAACATTAACTAATATATAAATACTGATGTTCTTGATCAATCGCTCCTTTGCAGCAAAGTCCTGGAGATTTTTCATAGTTAAAAGAGATTTTAGGTAGTCAATCTTGATTGCATAGTTCAACATGTATACGTCTTATTTCAAAAAGTGTACACCACAAGATTACAATACTAACCTAAAAATACACAAAAACTCTTTTAACTATGAAGCTATGTACAAAAGACACATCATATATTTCAAATCTAAAGCATTGGTGAGTAATTACAGGCTGTATATTTCACACACCAATTTTCTTCTATTGAAATCGGCTCTCTCCACTGATGACACTCAACATAAATATCATCAAGACCACTACTAGCAAGCACAATTGTAATAGTTTATTGTCAATAAATTCTGCATCAAGGAAAATAATTAAGATAAACAAAAACATGGGCCGGACACGTAGAAAAAATTGAATACACTTACCCATATTGTTGAGGGACGTCAATGCTTTTTGTCTTTCATAAAGTATATTCAAATGTTCATAGTTGTTAATAGCTTACAACCAAGAAGTATTCATACACTTACCCGCGGTATTTGACTTTGTGCGTATAATCATGTATTATGTAAGAAGTATTCATAAGTTTTTTTGACTGAAAAAACAGGGTGAAAACCCTGTTCATTTGAAAATCTTATTGCAAACCAAAACAAAGTACATCACAGCTAGTTGTAGACTCGCAAGGGGTAAAGCAGACCCTCTGCGACTCTACAGCTGTCAGAACCATATTACATACTTACATACAAGGGATACATAAACATTACTAGAGCACATAGAGATTAAGGAAAAAGATAGAAAGTCTCATCAGTTTTTCCAATACATAAGGGAGTAACCATCTAACAGAGTTTATGGAGAAGCTCGAGTAGGTGGACTTGGGGAAAAGTGATCCCCAGAAGCATCTGCGTTATTCTTTGCTAGCTCCTGTAGACCAATGTTGATGGCAGCTCTACGGAGACTCCTTGCCAACCTCTCCCTAGCGGCACCTGCCCAAAATATTGTATATCTCCCAATATTAGAGGCAATGACAGCAGGATTAGATTGGCTATCCTTAAAAATTAGAGAGTTTCTACTAAACCAGATCCACCAGCAGGTGCATGGTAGCAGTATCTTCCAAATAGTTCTGATATCCTTGCAAAGATTGGGAGATTTATGGAACTCAAAAAGCTCTTCCATAGACTGAGGCCAACTATTTGGTGAGAGAGAGGGTAAGATAGAGGACCAGATAGCGCGAGCAAAAGGGCATTCAATAAAAAGATGAACATGAGTTTCTACACCAGTTAAACAGAAAGAACACCTCGGGTCCCCAGTCCAGCCCTTAATGATCAAATTTGCCTTGGTGTTCAACTTCTTGTTTGAGATGATCCAGGAAAGAACTTTGACCTTGATAGGAATAGAAGTTTTCCAGATCATACTAAAAAATTTAGATTTAATACCTCCAGAGTTGACGAAGGAATAGAGGGACTTAACTGAGTAAGTTCCCGATGGATTGTGTGGCCACCAGAGCTTATCTGGAGTTGGGGAGATACTGAGGTTGGAGGATGCTAGAAGGGTAAGAAGGTGATGCTTGTCTAACCTTTCTGATGGAGAAATTCCTCTTCTGATAAGAGGATGCCAAATCCAGACGTTGTTTAGAAATCTGCCTTGAGATCTGATGCTGCAGTTCTGAGAAAGAGCAAGATGATATGCTTTTGGAAATAGACTGCAGAGGGAGTTTTGCGCAATCCATTTATCATGCCAGAAACTACCAGCTTTGCCGTCCCCGATGTTCCACTTAATCAGGTTGAAGAAGGTGGATTTGATGGAGGATAGATCTTTGCAGAACCTTGACGCCGAGCACTTAAGTGGATGAGCAAAAGAATTAGAATCATCTTTAGAGTAAACAGAGAAAAACACTTTGCTTATTAAAGAATTTCTGTCAAAAATTCTCCATAACCATTTAGAGAGGAGAGACTTTGCTTATTAAAGAATTTCTGTCAAAAATTCTCCATAACCATTTAGAGAGGAGAGCTATGTTGAAGTTTTCAGTGTCTATAACCCCAAGACCTCCTTCAGCCTTGGACTTACAGACTTTTCCCCATTTGATAAGGCATTTGATGTTCGATTGAGATTGGCTACCATTCCAAAGAAAATTTCTTCTGATTCTATCTATAGCCTTGATTAACCATTTCGGCAACTTGAAGAAGGACATATAGTAGAGGGGGAGAGAAGATAAAACTGAATTGAGAAGAGTTAGCCTTCCACCGATAGAGAGGGACTTGTTCTTCCATAACGAGAGTTTCTTTTTAAAAGATTCTAGAAGAGGTTGCCACTCTTTTTTGGAGAGTGATCCTCTTTTGAGAGGAAGGCCCAAGTATGAAAAAGGGAGAGAGCCAACAGAGCAACTGAGGATCTCAGCTAGCGTCTTACCTTTATGGAGAGATTTACCGAGGTAATAGAGATTGGATTTGAGGGTATTAACTCTGAGGCCTGATATGTTAGCAAAAATAGTGAGAATAGTATTGAGAGTGGCCATATCAGAGCGGGAGGCCCTGGAGAAGATGATGGTATCGTCCGCAAACTGAATAGTCTTGAGAGTGGCCATATCAGAGCGGGAGGCCCTGGAGAAGATGATGGTATCGTCCGCAAACTGAATAGTCCTAATGGAGTTAAGCTGCCCTTTCAAATTTAAGTCAGATAAGTCTCCCGCTGCAGCACTGCAGTTCAACATTTTGCTGAGAACATCTGCCACCAGTAGGAAGAGCAAGGGAGATAAAGGGTCACCTTGTTTAAGGCCCCTATAACATCGGAAGAATTTGGTAGGGGAACCATTCACTAAGACGGCTGATTTAGAGGAGGACAGAATGTGATGGATCCAGAGGCACCATTTAGGGCCAAAACCCCTGGCTTTGAGGAGAGAAAGGAGGAATGACCAGTTAACACAGTCGAATGCCTTATAGAAGTCAACCTTATAGGCACATATCTCTTTCTTCCCTGAAGAGCAGGAGTTGATCATTTCATGACCAAGAAGAAAAGAGTCAAGAGATGATTTCCCGGATTGAAAAGCTGATTGAGAGTTGTCAATAAGAAGGTGGAGAGCCTTTCTAAGTCTATTAGCCAAGATTTTGGAGAATATCTTGCAGGAACTGTTAATGAGACTAATGGGGCGAAAATCCTTGGGAGAGAATGCTCCATCTGATTTGGGAATAAGGCAGATGTGGGAGTAGTTGATATTCTGTAAAAGATGGGGATGGGAGTGAAGGCCCTGAATGAATTCAATAACATCAGCTTGAACTACAGGCCAAAATCTCTGAAAGAAGAGAATAGGGAACCCATCAGGCCCCGGAGATTTATCAGGGTGTAAGTCGAAAACAGCCTCTGAGATTTCTTGGGGGGAGAAGGGGAGGTCTAGAGAAGAAAGATCATGGTTGTCGTTGGGGTAAAGAAGACCCCAGTTAGGCAGAAGTTTGGATGCAGGGGGTTGGTCAAACAGGCAGTAAGTATTCATAAGTTCGTATAGTATATAAAAAGTACTCAATTTCTTAGTAGTTTTAGAACCAAGAACAACTGTCATCCATGCATCTAGTGACAAACCAATAGCATGTTGTCGAGCATTGTCCTCTCCCATTCAGATACACTTTTCAATTCCTTCCTGAATGATTTGGGTATTGCTCTTCGACTTTCAAATCTTCCACCCTAAACATCGATTAACACCGGGAGAACAATTTTGAGGAATGGTGGATCTTAGGACTCATAATAAGGGTTCGTTTGCGAGAAATTGCGGGGTTTGGGTGGTGGTTGGGGGTGGGGGTGGGGGTGGGGGTAATTTTTACATTTTAGGTAATTGCATATATATTAGTCCCTTAAATAATCCTTGATTGCCAAAAAGTCCATCACATATCTGTATTTTCTTATTAGCCCCTCAAATCTTTAATTGCACTGCAAATCCGTCCCTCTTGTTAGGTGATGTTAATTATTATGGTGAACTTACATTAAATCAAATGAAAATGGTCGGATTTCCTGTTATATCCCCTACTCCTGTTTAACAGTAGCTTTTTTAATCTCACCAACCCATTTGATAATGGGTTTAAACTCACAAACAGCAACCTAATGTCGGATGTAATGTAAATTTATGAGAGGGCTATAACGCAAAATATATGGGTACTAGAATATATAGCATATTGCCCGTGTTTTGAGTCCTCACTTCCGTCACCGTAAACATCCACTTTTAGCTTTCATTACCCATTAATTGTGGGTCAATATTTCCTTATCATGTGATTAGCTAGCTATTGCCTTAATAATTAGCAAATATTGCTGATTATCTTTATTTATTAATGATGTCTCACATTAATCCTATCAAATGCTAATAAGTGCTATTTTAATCAGAAAGATTGGATTCACCAACGGGAGAAAAAAATTCTATACATCGATAAATATCCTTGGTTTTGCTAGCCTGAAATATACAGAAACAAAAATTAGCTTCCCTTCGCTGTTCAAAAAACAAAAGTTTTTCTTTCTGTTCAATTTCCTGAGCGATTGTTCGAGCTGAGTTCCACTCCTCTTAAGTGAGTGCGCATGATTTGAGAACGATGTGTTAACCTTGGGGGGGGGTGAGAATGAAGTAGCCGATACGCACCATGATTGGTGCAAAATCACTTTTAAGGTCGTAGTGGTTTACATCATGATACGGTAATTAATTCTAAGTTCTTCTCTATCATCGTTATTGATCTTCACTATATTTTTTCCCCCAACATTTTAATTAAAAGATATTTCTAAAGTTTAGATAAATGGCTTATGCTAATGAGAGAGAGAGAGGTAATCACAGCAATGATCTCCAAAGCCAACGTGGTGGGAATTAAACATAGTTGGAGGGGTTGTTGACAAAGGGACTACTGGGCACATCTGGATTGGGATCCTCTACTAATGAGGATCCTTCCTAAGATATCCTCATGAGATCTTGGCCTTTGATTTATCAATCAAAAGTCATGATCTCCTCATGAGGAAAAGTAGGAAGGAGAAAGAGAATGAGATCTTGACCTTTGATTGATAAATCAAAAGCCAAGATCTCCGATCATTAGGAGATCTTAGGAGGATCCTCATTAGTAGAAGATCCCAATCCGGCACATCTACACTAAACAAGGGCTTGTTTCAAGACCTTGAGAAGTCTAGGGATGTAGAGTACATCTACAATATTGGCTATGCTAGCTAGTGTTGTGGGGGTACTTGATGAAGGAAAGATTCTCCACAAATATATTAACTTCTAGAAAACTTTTAGCTTTAAACAATGTGCTTAATTTACGTTCTTTCCTTGTGTAGGCACTTAATTTCTGGTGCTCTACTAAAACCAAGTAGGGCTAAAGTTGACATATGATGACGGAAAGCTAGTTCCGACCGGCGACGGTGAATTTGTGGGCGAAGGTTATCAGAACGGAGGATTGTTTATACTAGATGCCTCAACTAATGCTGTGAATGACGGTTTAAATTCTGCTTAAGTTGTCGGGTCAATAAACATTTGGCAAGGTCATGAATAAAATAGTTGAGAAACATTCTAGTAGAATTTTCATTTTGGAGGAGACGAGCTAGCCTCAACGGTTTCTACTCTCTTTGTAGTACGTGAGATCTGAGAGGAGCTTAGTGTAGAAACGGCGAACACATTGACGAGGTTCAAGAAATTTGAAGCTGGGAACATTTTGAGTGCTATCGGCCGGTCGGCCGGTCGACCGCCGAGTTAGTCGCGGTCGACTGCGAACGTGCACGAGTACAAAGTAGTTTCTGGAGTTCTGGTCGGTCGACCACAAGGTTAGGTCCGGTCGACCGCCAAACCTTATAATGATTTTCTGAATTCTATCGTTCTGTTCGGTTTCCTGCACTGTTTGGAATTTCTATTTAATATAAATAGAAACACGATTTGTTTGGGTTTTTAATCGTATTGATTGAGTTTTAGGGTAGTTTGAAGGAGAGTTTTGAGCACAGAAAAGAGAATTCTTTCTGAGCAATTTGTTTGAGGGTTTTGTGAGAGATTTGAGAGTTTAGTTTGAGAGTTTAGTTTGAGAGCTTTTTGAGTGATATTGTAATCTCTATTTTGTACTTTCTTTCTTTATAGTGAAAACTCATCCCCTTCTTGCCCCGTCGACGTAGGTAATTTGCAGAACCACGTTAAACTTCTATATTTGAGTTTGTGCTATTATTAGTTGATTTGTGTGCCTCCTCTCTCGGCAAATTTGGGAATCCTCAGAACACGCACAGTACTCGCAACAAGTGGTATCATAGCTTCAAGCTACGTTTGGGGTTAGGTGGAGGAGTAGATCGTTTTGGAAGTTCGTCTAGGGTTTCAATTGGAGATATATGTGGGATCTTTTTGGTAAAGAATTTATCTTTTCTCAGTTTGAATCTATTCTTCAATTTGTTCCGCAATGGTTGTTGGTGTTTTGTGGAAGATGTCTGGGAAAGAAGGTGTTAAGGGTGGTGCTTCTGGCGTGAAGACTATTCAGAGTTTGAATATCCACTCTACGAAGATAGATGTGGACGAGCTTAATGGCATAAACAATTTTGGATTATGAAGATGTGAGATTTTGGATACGCTGAACGCGCAAAATTTGGAGGATACTTTGGAATTGAATGGTAAGCCAGATGATATAGAAGAGAAGGTTTGGAAGAAGATGAATCGAACGACGTGTGGTGTTATTAGGTCTTGTTTAACGCATGATCTAAAGTATGGTGTGGTGAATGAGATTTCTGCAAAGAAGATTTGGGAAATTCTTGAAAGTAAGTATTTGACTAAGAGTGTTGAAAACCGCTTGCATTTGAAGAGGAGACTTTATCATTTCCAGTTGAAGAAGAGAATCTTAATTAGTGATCACATGAACAACTACACGAAGCTTCTTGCGGATTTGATGAATATGGATGTTATTATAGAGGATGAGGACAAGGTATTGTTGTTGTTGAGTTCTTTACCAGATGAGAAATATGAGATATTTGTTTTTACCCTAATTAATGGGAATGCGTACCTTTCGTATAGTGAGGTAACCACTGCTCGTGTGAATTACCAACTAAGGAAGAAAGATAAGGAGTCTACAAGTGGCACAATACCAGAGGCATTGATCGCAAGAGGGAAGAATCCAAACTGGAAGAATCCAAACTGGAAGAATGGAAAGTCACGGTCTAGAGCAGTGCATCCTACAGTTGGCAAAGATCAGTGTGCTTGGTGTAAAGAGACCGGTCATTAAAAAAAGAGTGTACAAAGCTCAATGAATGGATGAAGAACAAGCAGAAGGGAAAGGAAAAACAACCATCATCAGAAGCAAACATTGTCATATCGGATGATAATCTTTCTGACTCATCTGTTTATGCACTTTCTATGACTCACATAGTTGACTATTCAGAGGAATCTGAGTGGATGTTGGATAGTGGTGCAACCTATTATGTGTGCCCTAAAAGGGAATAGTTCTCCAGTTTTGAAAAGTTGGATAGTGGTATGGTATACATAGATAATAACTATGCATGTCAGATCCTTGGGATAGGTAAAATTTGTATCAAGATGTTTGATGGGATGGTTAGAGGGTTATTGATAGGGCAAATCTGCAAGCGCACGGACTCGTTGTAGCTATCAAGGTCGATCCCACAAGGACTAGGGGTTATCTACCAAGTTTCACGTTTTCAACTAGCTAAATCAATGAGTAAATTAGAAGAGATTTAATAAAAGAAATAAAATAAACAACTAATCGGATGGAATTCAATATAATAAAGGACTAGGATTGGGTTATCACCACAACTTAGGTGTTCAATGATGAATTATTTTAATTCTTGGTATTGGTTTAATCTAGAAAGGGTGAATTAGCCTAAATTAATCTAAAGTCTCTTTCAAGGTCTAAAGACCGTGCCTAATTAATCTCAATTAACCTACTTTCGTGGAATTAAGATTAAGTTAAACCCATTAAGCTTTATGCTAATCCAAATCAAATCCCCAAGGAATCTAGCCTACTTTCGTGGTTCGAGCTCCCTGCTTAATTTCTAGAGATCCGGTATTAATCTTCACCTTTCAGTCCTTCAATTAATTACCTATGATTGCTAATACGGTGATCAAGCGAATCAACACGATTAAAACACTAGAAATCAAGTTTAAAGATCTAAACTTTCACCAAGAACATATATTAATTCATCATCAATCATTAAAAAGTCGGGTTCTTTCCCAACCCTAGACAAGAAATCTACTCACACATGATTGGAATAAGAGAAGACATCAAATAATTATGCAAATCAATCATAAGAAGAAATAAATCAAAGAAAGGAAAGAATTAACCCGTCTTTCAATTGAAATCTTAAGGAAAGAATTAACCCGTCTTTCAATTGAAATCTTCAAAATAAGAACTTGCAATCCAATCTTCTACAAAAAATTAATGTCTTTCTTCAATACTTGAACCCTAGAATAGTTGCTAGTTGATGGCTAAAAGAACATAACAAAAGATATCCAAAACCCTAAGTCAAAACATCTATTTATATGTCCCCAAAAATCTGAAAATTAACTAATTCCCGCGCCACCGGTGTGGTCTGCACCACACCACGGTGTGGTAGGGGCTGTTTTGCTGATTTTGTGCTTGTTTCTTTAGTTTTCGGTATTTTGGCTATAAC